GTGGGGGTCCCTGGGCACAAGGAGACTGGGTGGGGGTCCCTGGGCACAGGGAGGCTGGGTGGGGGGTCCCTGGGCACAGGGAGGTTGTTTCATTCAATGGTGTGAGGAAGAGACCGACGAGAGACATCCTAGTTTGGGGAACTTAAGTTTGTTGTGGCCACAATCTCCACGACAAGGTGACATTTCTCCAGGAGCCCAGGTGAAGGGAAACAGGTGAAGTCGGGGGAAGGGACAAAGAACAGAAAATGACATGTTCTGAGAACAAGCCAAAGACAACCGTGGGCGGGGATCCTGCCGGCAGAGGGATCGGAAACTGCTCTCCGCCCTGCGCCGCTCAGGGGCCTTGGGAGGCCCGCACGCCAGGTGGGCAGAGACGAACACCGGCCCCTCTCGGCCTCAACCAGCACACGGCTCCCGACACACAGGAAGAAAACCAAGTTCTGATAACTTATAAAAACACCTAATAGGTTTAATCTGCGGAGCCAAAAGGTCTTCTGAGCTGGCAGCCCAGCGAAGTCCTAGTGTTTTTGAAATGGTCAGACTCTCATCCGATCTGAGATAAACAACAGGGAACAACAGGCTGAGTTACATCTTTCTTAAAAAAAAATGTTTTTATTGATTTCAGAGAGAGGAAGGGAGAGGGAGAGAGAGAAACATCAATGATGAGAGAGTCATGGATCGGCTGCCTCCTGCACGCCCCCCACTGGGGATCGAACCCACAACCCGGGCCTGTGCCCTGACCGGGAATCGAACCCTGACCTCCTGGTTCATAGGGCGACGCTCAATTGCTGAGCCACGCCAGCTGGGCCTGAGTTACATCTTAACGGACACTGTTCTGGGGCTCGTCTGAGAGTCAGCAATCTCCCCCCGATAAAGGCAGACGGGCTGCAGGTGGGCCAGAGCCTAGAAGGGGCGCGTTGCTCGTTCCGGATGGAGGACTGAAGAGCAAACTTGTGAGCACCCCACCCCGCAGGCAGCTGGGAGCCCGCAGGGAGCCGCAGGTGACCCTGCTTCCTGCCCACGCGGCTCCCTAACCTGCGGCTCCTTCCGGCCCAAACGCTCCCCTGGATTCCGGGAGCCGCACAGGCCGTGCCTCCTCCAAGCTGGGTCCCCTGGCCAAGCTCCAGGTTCCAGAACCTGCCCCTGCTTCCCTCTTCTGCCTGAAGACTTGCGCATCCTGAGTTCAAGACCCTTACGACTTCTCTAGGTAAGTTGCTAACTAAAATTACCAATTAGCCCGGCACGCGTGGCTCAGTGGTTAGAGCGTTGGCCTGCACACGGGAGGGTCTTGGGTTCAAGTCCCCGTCAAGGGCATGTACCTGGGTTGCAGGTTTGATCCCACCCTTGGTTGGGGCACGTGCAAGAGAAAACCAACGGATGTCTCTCTCTCTCTTCCACTCTCTCTAAAAATCAATGGGGGGAAATACTCTCAGGTGAGGAACAACAAAGCAGTAATAATAAAATGACCGATGCATCTGCGCGCCTGTGGCTCACAGTGGCATCTGTAATCTAAGAGGCCTGCGGGGGGCCCCCTTCCCCAAACATCGCTCGCTTCAGAGTCATGGGGTGAAGCGACCTCACAGTCCCCCCGGCTCCTGGGGTGATGCCCGGGGCGCAGAGCATCCTGCCCGGGCCGCCCCTGGGCAAACGTGTGCGAACAGAACCATGAAGAAACACCAGGCAAACCCGAGCTGCGGGACGGTCTGCACAGCAACCGTCCGGTCATCTCAAAAGGCCCGTGTCGCGGAGACAGACACTGGGAGCTGGTCTGGGTCTGGCAGGGACTAGAGACGGGCCCACTGAAAACAAGGCGGGGGCCCTGGCCGGTTTGGCTCCATGGCTAGAGTGTCCGCCTTCGGACTGAAGGGTCTTGGGTTTGATTCCTGGTCAAGGGCCCGTGTGTCGGTTCCCAGCTTGTCCCCAGCCCGAGTCCGGGTGCGTGTGGGAGGCAACCAATCAATGTCTCTCTCTCTCTCCACCCCCTTCCTCTCTCTCTGAAAAACAATGGAAAAATATCCTCCGGTGAGGGTTAAAAGAAAACAAGGCAGGAGCCCGGACTTTCTTGGGCTCTGTGGGGTGTCACTGGGCCCAACGTGGCCTGTGGGTCAGAGAACAGCTCGGAGCCGGGTCCTGTCCGGACTGTGGCCGCTGTTCTCGGCTGTCAGACTGTTCTTTCTTCATGTTCGGGAGGGAAGGACAGTTTGTCTGCAACTCAGAGAAAAATGGAGCTGAGGCAATAAAACAAACATTTGGGGAATCCGGGAGAGGGTGTAAAAGAAGTCTTTGTACCATTCTTGCAAATGTTCTGTGTCTGGAAAAATAACGACAGATATATACTAAGTACGCAGATGGGTTTTAAAGGGTGCGGTTTTCCCAGCAGATCTCCGCCTGCTTCCCAGGAGAGTCGCCTCGGACACTGTCAGGTGTCAGCGCCCGGGCGCCGCCCCGATTCCAAGTCTATCAGCCGGGCGGGGCTCAGGCCTCATGTATCAGGACAGCGTCCCGGGGAGATCACGGCGCGAGCCCAGCGGGATAAGAACAGCCGGGGCCGCCCTGGTTTTGTCGGGAGAAGGGAAGCTTGGGGCTGAGGGCTTTCCGGGCCCTTCCCTCTCCTCTTCGTATATAGACACGTTTTTATTGGTTTCAGAGAGAGAGAAAAACATCAGTGACGAGAGAGACTCATTGACTGGGTGCCTCCTGCAGGCCCCCTACTGGGGACTGAGCCTGAAACCCGGGAATCAAACCGCGACCTCCCGGTTCATAGGTCAACACTCAGCCACTGAGCCACACCGGACGGGCCTGCCTCCTCCCTTCCAGAGCTGATCCCGGGCAGCACAGCCACTCAGGAGGAGCACTGCTCTGCGCCCAGTCTTGGCCCGTCACCAACAAGCTGGGGGCAGCCTGGGCTCTCTCGGCTGTCGGGCGGGCTCACCAAGAGCGGCCCCTGAGGCAGAACAAGCCCAGGACGTGGGCGCCGGCTCAGCGGCTTGCCTCCCTGGGCCCCAGTGCCCTGCGGCGGGTCTGCGCAGGGTGGCAACCTGAAATCCTCTCCGTGCCCCAGCGGCAGGTTCTGCCACAGGCTGGGTGGCTCCCTGCAGCCCTCTCCCTTCGCGAGGACTGAAGTCCAGGAGGGTCCTCGGCACAGGGGCTGGAGGGGGCAGGAGGACACCAATCCAAGCAGCAGGGAGGCAGGCTGCCCACGCTCCCGAGGGAAACCGAGGCACCTGCCACTGGTCCCTTCATGAGACAGGCTTGTCAGGGATCTGTGGGAAGAAGGTGCCCTCATCTGAGGCCCCGCCCGGGTCCCAGACCCCAACCCCTGCCCAGCTCCAGACTTCTAGACCCTGCCCGGCCTTCTGAAACTGCGCTGCTCAGAACGGCCGCCCCGCCCGCAGGTGGCCACTGGGCACCTGAGACGTGGCCCGTCTACACTGGGATGTGCCGTAGGTGTAAACTGCACACCGATTTCCAAGTATCCATAAGCAAAAAAGAATATAAACCATCTCATTAATTTTAAAAAAGACTGGCCAACGTTGCCGTGTTCGTACTTTGGGTTAAGTAACATTTACTGTGGAAATTCACGTGGGCTGCACTATATTCCGACCGACAGCTCTGTTCTGAAGTCTGCATGCTGTCCTTCTGTGACTCGCTTCCCTGGTGATAACTACATTAGGATCCAATCAGGGAAGAATTTAGTGCTCAGTGGCACCAGGCCGGGCCCCGAATGCCCGCAATGGGAACTGCTCAGCTTCCCCCTGGGGTCCTCAGGCTTCCGCGATCCCAGCAAACCCTCCATCCCCGCAGCCCACGGGAGGGCAGCTGGTGCCGGGAACGTCCATTTCTCGCGGCTTGCTCAAATAATGGCAATTATATTAATTTACATCCTCACACTCAACACTGCCACTTACTTATTTTTTTACTTTTTTTTTTTTAAATCTTCACCAGAGAATATTTTTCCATTGCTTTTTC